GAGAAGCATGCGTAGTAATGCCCACAGAAGGTGAGAAAACAGAAAAGTAAACTATGCAGAACATGATTAGCTAGGAGTCTATATGATCACACTCTATCCTGTGTTTTTCATCTAATTATGACAGCTGCAAATAATAGAGATGAAAATCTGTGCCCCAGAGATCATGCTGAATTCTCATTTCTGAATAACTCGGTATACTACATGCCTTTGGCCTGAGCTTGTCAAAAGCCTAATTTAGGTGTATTTATCCCTTCATGTGTTTGCATGAATTAACATGTCTGAATATGTGTGGTTACCTGTTGTGTATACAGCCACATAAACTGTGTGTGTTTTATTTATTCAGGTGCTTCACTGTACAATGGTGGAAAGCAGTTGACCCAAGCACTCAGAGTTCTCGGCCTCTTTCAGTGTCAGTTCTTCTCCCAGACCCTAGAAGATTTGCATCAGACCACAGGCTTGTCAATCTATGAAAGAAATCGCTATTAACCAACAACACTTTGAATTTCTTAACAGGAGTCACCCTATTCATTTATTTTTTATTTATTTTACTAACAAGCCAGTGAAGACTACCAGTTTTGCTTAACTTATTTCTCTTTCTTACTTCCTGATCCATTTTTCATCTAGATTCTAATTCTGGACATAATTGACTTTTATACTAATTTTCTCTGCTATCACTAGAAAATAGAAATAAAATATCACTAAAGAGTTATTTCCTTGTACGAATATTTGGCAAACACATCCAGCAATGGCCTTTTTTAGTACCAAAAAAGTATCCTTTCCCGTGGTGAATATTTATAGCACAGTCTTGAGTCCGTGTTCTATTGCTGTGAAGAGACACAATGACCATGGCAACTCTTAAAAAAGAAAGTATTTAATTGGGAGCTTACAGTTTCTGAGGTTTAGTCCATTATCATCAAGGTGGGGAGCACGAAACCATGAAGGCAGGCATGGTGCTGGAGCGGTAGCTGAGATCTACATTCGGATGTGCAGGCAAATAGAGCTACCGGACCCAGCATGGACTTTATATCTCAAAGCCCAATCCCAGTGACATACTTTCTCCCAAAAAGCAACTTCTCTTAATCCTTCTAATTCTTTCAAAGAATTCCCCTCCCTGCTAACTTAACATTCAAGCCACCACACATACTAAAGCACACAGAAGGCATAGCAGTTTGAAATATATTCTGGTTTTATATTATTAGTAAACACACAAGCTTAACACCTTTAAATTTTCATTTTGGGGTAAATGAGTCAATCGGTTTCAGTAGTTGCCCTGTAGAAGAAACAGATATTTAGCATATCACTTTGCAAAAACTAATTAACTAAGGTACACCATGGCATTGAAGTAGAAGCCGGAGCTGTTCAGATTGCTGGGCAGGATGTCTGACCTTGAGGGAAAGATTGCTCTTGAAGGCAAGCTTCTTGCTTTACTTCAGTCACTTGGTCCTCTTGGTCTCAAAATTTCTCACAATATAAGGACTTTCTCATTTTTCACATGAGAGAAAACTTGAATAATCTGAAACAATTCTCCACATTATAATCTTCACTGATCCCATGTGCCCTCTGATCTCTCTCTAATGTATAAATTATTCTGAAGTTTCTTTTTCTGTCTTAAATACCTTATATAATAGATGCTTATTAAGCCAACCATTGCATTTTTGGGATCCATGTGTTCTTGCACTGAAGCAGCTGTGGCTGTGATGGGGAGACATTAAAACTGTTCAGCTTTGACTATTTTAAGATATGAATCCTTTGAGAACTAAGAAGAGTTAGCAAGTGTGGAAGAAGGGGGTGGATGGTTGTTGATTGCTGAAGAGAAATGGTAGCAGGAGACACCAAGCTCTTTCTTCACCCCTCCCCCACTTTAAGGTTATAACACAATTGCATTTTCCTTCCCCTCCCCTCCCTCCAATATCTCCCAATATGCCCTTCCCAGTCTCTTTCAAATTCATGGCCTCTTCTTGCCACTAATTGCTATCTCATGAACACACACACACACACACACACACACACACACACACACACACCCCTATCTATTTATCTATCTATCTATCTATCTATCTATCTATCTATCTATCTAGTCCTAAATAATCTGCTGCTCAGTCCATAGAACTTCAGTTGTTTGTATGTTTTCAAGACTAACCGTTTAGTACTGGACAACCAATCTGTATACCTTTCTCTGAGGAAGACCATCTCTCCTGCCTTCCACTTTCTTCTGTTTCGTATGATTCTTTGTGTAAGGTTGAAGCCTCATAGCCTCCTGGAGTTTTCTTGTCCATTTTGGCATATCCACTAGTCACCCATGCCCACTCCTGCCCAGGCAGTCATATTGGTGAGACTTTATGGGTGCAAACTCTCTGATCTTTGCACTCTTACAGTCTTTCCGCTCCATCTTTTGAAATGTTCCCTGAACTATAGTTGTAGGAGTGTTTTGTACCCTTTGTTCTTGGAGAAGAATCTACAACCCTTACTATACTAAACCAGTGTAATCCCTATCAGCAATCTAAAAATCTTTGTCCTTATATACACAGTTAAGTACAGTCTTTATCCCTCATCTAGGAAATTTTGCCACACAAGGAAACGTGTAGTAAGAGGCCACAGTTCATTTCCCGGCTCCCCTGGCCAGAAATAATCAGACAAAGACTATATTATTTTCAATACTCTTTGGCCAATAGCTTAAGCATATTGCTAACTAGCTCTTACATCTAGAATTAACCCATTTCCATTATTTCATATTTTATGATAAATCTCATGGCCTATCTGCAAAATTCCAGCTGGTAGCTCGCATCTTTCCCCTTTGGTGGCTCCATGGCAGCTCCGTTACTCCACCTACTCTCTCTCTCTCTCTCTCTCTCTCTCTCTGTCTCTCTCTCTCTGTCTCTCTCTGTCTCTCTCTCTCTCTCTCTCTATATATATATATATATAGATAGATAGATAGATAGATAGATAGATAGATAGATAGATAGATAGATAAAGATATAGATATCTTCCAACCTGGCTGTATTCTGTTAAGCCATTGGCCAAAAGCAGCTTCTTTATTTATTAACCAATAAAACAACACATAGACAGAAGGACTTCCCACACCATAAACCACTAGAGAAAATCACAACCAATCCAAATGAAGAGTTTTAGAGCCATGTTTTTTCTTAAAATAAGAGTTTCACCCATTCAGAGATCTGTATGAGTGCAGAGAGGTTGGCAAAAGTAGGAATCAGAGGTGGAGGTTATAGAATTGGAACTATGGAATGTGAAACACTACTTTCAAAAATGTCAGAAAGTTTCAGGTCTCCATTGGATTCCTGAGACTTGAAGACTAGGTCTGAAGATGTTTTACTATGGGTCTGGGAAAACAGTAATGAACTTCATCTGAGAGTCTGAATGAGAGGGTCTAAATGAACTAAGGATTACAGCAACAGAGTTAAACAGGAGACCAAGAACATTAGAAGAAATTTAAAATTTAGGATGTACTAAGGTTAGAGCCCATGGGGAAGCACTTTGAGAAGACGAATGTTGGGGGCGGCCCTGGTACTCCCAGTACAACTGCGAGGGAGGATTTTCGCTCTCTATGGTAGATATGAAAAAGACGTTCATATTGGGATGTGAGTAGGTGGATGCTCTTATGGCTCTGTACTATATGGAGGTTCTTGGATGGAAGCAATGAGTGTGGATCACAGGAAAAGGGGCTAACCAAGTCATACCAACTGGGGACAAAAGAGTTATGAACATATAAAGCAAGTTCTTCTGTATCTCCTTGATAGGCATAGTCTCCCACCAGAAAGGACACAGTGTGAAGTCTAAACTACATAACCTCTTAATAATTGTATTTTAAGATTCAGTTAATAAAATAATGAATGGATGAAGAAAACCTGTTATGGGATAGTAAAAGTACCAAACACAATCATAGTGTGTGTGAGTGCATGTGTGGTACAGCTATGTGTACATAAATCATTGCATACATCACCTCTTTAAGTAACTGTCCCAGATCCAGAGGTGGTGGCGGGGTATAATGGCTTCAGAGTCTAAGTTTGGTGTGTGTGTGTGTGTGTGTGTGTGTGTGTGTGTGTGTGTGTGTGTGTTTTACTTGATGACAACATCAATGCATTTGACACCCAAAGCGGCATTTCCTTTGAAAAAGCCTGTGTCTTTTGGTCTCTCTTACAAAATTTTCCGTTTGCCAGAGAGGGAAAGGTTGAGTTAGATTTTATGATTATACTGGAGTATAATAATATTCTTAAAAATGGAGTTTTATTTCATTTTTGCAAGTTTTAATTCATTTACACATAAACACCTTTAAATCGCAGTCAAGTAAGTCACCAATTATTCTCTTGCTGCATGCAAGCCAGTTGGTAAATGCCAGAAAAGGACACATCTTGTCAGGATAACAAGCCACCAAGATATGCCTTTCAAGTGAAGATGTGGCAAGGGAATTACGCTTTGTTGGCCTGTGGGCACTCAAGACAATGCTAACTTTCACTTCTGTTTATTATTATTATTTTTTTGACATAGGAACCAATTCTGTATTTTAACCCTGGCCTGCTTTATAACTCTCTTTACCCATGACCTTTCTTTGATCTTGTTCAATCAGCATCGGACTTGATGCTCCGTGAAAAAGTTCCTAGGACTTGGGCAACCCTGGCCCAGCAGCCAGGTGACCGAGACTGGGTGGGGACCCGCAGAGTTTTGTGGGCGCGGAGCCTCTCGCATACCAATCTCCTCCCACCATCATCGCTCGCCGGGAGGCGGAGAGGGCAGCAAACTTCGCTCCAATCCGCAGCCGTCCTCCCTAGGGTCCCCCTGCTGGGCGACTCGCCCGCTGTGGACTGTAGTTGGTGGAACTTTGCAGATAAACTGCTCCTGAGAGCTGGGGAGGGAAGCTCCCCGCCTCCCCACATTCCGGCTCTCCTTCCCCCGCCTCCCGGTCCTCGCCCAGCCGCCCGCGCTGGTGATAGGACGAGCCCCGGGCGTGCTTTGTGTGTATGCAAAGCATCGCCTTGCTCCTGGGGCAGCTCGAGCGGTGGCTCGGCTGCTGCTGCGGCTGTGGCTGGCGCTGCGGTACTCGCTGCTGCCACTGGTGCCGCCGCCAGAGACTGAGCCCAACGCTGTCATGCTCCTGCCGCGGGGCGGGCGGCAGCGTCGTCCCGTCGCTATATAAGCGCAAGCAGAGGGGGCACCCGGAGGGGCTGAAAATGAAGGTGCCCGCGCATGGGCCGCCGCTGATTGCCAACCCCTCCCGAGCTTGCTCCAGGCGTGGAGTCCGAGGCCGCCGAGGACCCGCCTTCACCGCAGTAGCAGCAGGAGCAGCGACGCGGACAGCAACTGCGGCGGCGGTGGCGGTGGCGCCCCTCGCGCCAGCGCGTAGAACCGCGGCGACTCCGGGGCCGCCGCTGGCCCCGCTGCCATGAGTTGTGCGGAGGTGATGTATCACCCCCAGTCGTATGGAGCGCCCCAGTATCTGCCCAACCCCGTGGCAGCTGCAACCTGCCCCACAGCCTGCTATCATCCGGCGCCCCAACCTGGCCAGCAGGTGAGTCACCGGCCGGGCAGCCTTCCGGGGGCGGGGACGAGGGGCACCCGGTATCGGTGTGGGGCTCCGGCCCTGTCCCGTCGGGACCCGAGGCACGGAGGATGCTCTGGGACCTACGGGGAGCCACAGAAGGAAAAAGATAGTAGGGCAGAACTGCGGGTGGCAGGGCCAGGATGCCTGGAGAGGCATTACCTGACCGGGGGCTTCTTTGAGCTGTGTCACCTGGACTCAGAGACTCCTAGCTGCGCTGGTCCTTAGGACTCAGTTCTTTGAAGCTCACCAGAGGCGTCTGTTTTAGGACTGCGTGAGTAAACTTTTAACCCAACCACTTTGATTCCTGGATTGAAAAGGGGAAGTGTACCACTAAGGTAGCAGAAGTTACCCGAACAGTGAGCTTGTGAAATATTCGTTCTGAGACTTTTAGGGTGGAACTCTGGTCTGGTAGCAGACACACTGAGTATTTCTAGAATTTATCCGTTGCGTTTCTCAACGGGTCTGTGATTTAGATGACGTGGTTGCCCAAAAGGCTCTTCATTCATTCCCCAACAAAGCACGGGGCTTGTCGGTGTCCATCAGCGGACCTGTGTTTCTCGGTCCAGAGGTAGCTTTGAGTATCCGCATTCCCGGGCTCCACCCAGAGAAGACATTTAAATTGTCAGTAAAAAGGACCTGGCATCCAGGAGATGGTAAGAAAGAGTAGACACTGGAAAACGTGACACCAGGGATCCTTCGGCCACATAGCAAGCGCACCAAAATTTAGTTAGCACTACCCTAAGAACAGTAAACCGTGTGTGTGTGTGGCCAGGTGCTGTACTGAAACAGAGGCCTTCCTGGGGATTAGAGTAGGCTAATTTCATTCTGACTTAAAAATAAGCTAGATATAGTTAGAAAAATAATGATTTACAGAATTTATTGACTTGTTTTCATTTCTTAGGAACTGTTTGTTTTATTCTGGCCGTCAGGGTTTGGCCCTTGGAGGAATCTGACCTTTGAATTCCTATTTTTCCTTTGTGTCTGTCCTTTTTCTACATGTACAGAGTTACTTGTTGAGAAAGGGACTATTACTCTATGTTTAAAATGTAGTGGCTGTCAAATTCAGCTAACTCTGAAAGGCCACAAATTCAGGACTCACAGCTAAACAGTCCATCTTAATGAAGACCAACAGGAGACATGTGAGAAGAGCCCACTTTCTTGCTCACATCAATTAATTTATTTACTTGAACATTTGACAACTTTACCATTTCAAAGCGAAATGATCTTTGAAGGGAGAGATGGACAAGCATTTTTTTTTTAATTTTGTGGTCAAGGGTGACAAATGAAAACATTGGGGCTGCTCACGTTTTCTTTGAAATATACAAAATAATGCTACTGTAGATTCAAGGGAGGCAAAGAGACTTTGGGTATTACTAACACCCATTGCTCCATCGCTGATGCAGTAGAGACCTTCAATTATCAGTTGGAATGTGGATGAACAACAGACCGAGATGTTTTTAAATATTCAGGAAGATAACTTTCTCTTCTGAAAAAATCAGGAATAGTAGAAGTTGTGAGTAAGGTTGTCTCTTATGAAATTATGTCATAAATTCCACTGAAATCAGAGTCTATAGTTGAGGTCAGCATGTAATACTCTTTCTGGGGAAAAAAAGTCAAAGGCTGTTTTAGACACATTGAAAGTCAGTAATCATGAGAGCTAGTTTTCACTGAGAACCAGCTCCAAGCACGTTATCTTATTTTGTGATAGATAGACTTAAGTTTCAACCCCAAATTCCATTCTTTTGCTAAAACTATCAACAAGTTGACAAATGAATTAAAAATAAAACACCAGAAGAGTCTAAACTGTCTGTGTTAAGTTCCACAATGTCCAGCTTCTGCTATAGTCTGAACTTCTATAGACGTCTTTTAAGTAGACGTTTGCTGAGTTTACTGGAAGGGTGTAGTTGAGAGGTGTATATGGAAACTTTCAGAATTCTCTGGTTATTTGGCTTACTTGATATTTACAATTTTCTCCAACAAACAAACTACTTGACTCTTATTGGCGAATGGACCAGAGAGAGCCGACAGTGTCGCTACTGTTCTTTCACTGTCGGAGTTTATTTTGATGACCTATATTTTCTATTGGAAGAAAGAATAAGTCAGGAAATTCTTATCAGCCTGACAACATTTTTAGACTACGCAGTGCGTGGGTGAAGTGGGACTAATATTGACTTGGCCCTAATGCAGTCATCTGAGAATACATATTTTGGTTGTTTTTGCATTCCATAAGGTTTTATCATTATTATCCATGAAGGTTGTTTTCTCCGTGCTTGGGATTTGACCCCCTAATAGCAGCTTGCTTGGGAGACAAAAATGAGGACTACAACTCTTACGGCATTAAAAAAGAAACAAACAAAAACAAAACCAAAAAAAAAAATACTTGATTCATGAGGAGGAAAAAAGAAACAGGAAAAAATGACAGTGTAATCTATAAAACATAATGGTCATTCATGAAGCAAATGCTGGGAATGAGGACGTTGATATTTTATGCTACTTGTGCACTGAATTGCCATAATGTATCCCTTTGTTGCTCTCTCTCTTCAAAACTGGGTATCTAAAGTTCTTGTCTGTTGGTTTTTACTCTTTTCTAGAAGGAAAGGGAATCAAATACAGAGTCTCACCTGTGCTGTGCAAGCAGTGTGACACTAAACTACACACACCCTACCTCATTAGTTTATCAAAATAGTTCATTATGATTGATCTTGAGCTCGGTAGATTTCCCCTTTCTGAACACTCCTTTTAGAAGTGAAAGGAATTTATTTTTCATCCATATGAATTACCATTTCCCTCTAAATCAGAAAGCTTTAAGTTTAGGTCTTTTGATTGAACACCTTGTAGGTGTAGGTAGGTCGGAGTTGAGGGTTTTAAAAGCCTAAGAATCTGCATACAGCTGCCGCCCTGCATTGTCTTACTTCAGTTAAGCCAGTCCAACCCATCTGCAAATGTCTGAAAATTAAATTTATGATCCTTGGAGTTAATTCCTAGAAACTGTGTGCTGGACTTGAGTCTTCCAGTGAACTTCACAGAGCCGGAACTCTGTGAGCGATTCTGAGCAGCCTAGTCCCAGCCTAACCATCTCCCCATAGCCTCCAGACAGTCCTCCTCCATATCTCCCTGGGAGCAGCCTTGACTCAGTCTCAGCACATGCTCTCAGGCTGATGACACTGCAAAACGTGAGCAGAAAGGAATGTGCTTGTATTCCACCAGTGACAGTAGGAAACAGCACAAAGTTTCGAAATACGTGTCAGGAAAAATTGAGGGCAACGATCTGAAATCATAGATTCCCTTCATACTCAGTGGACTTCTCATCTTAAAGGCAGACAGTCTGTTGTCTAAATCCTCTTCCCATATTAAGAATGCTAAATCAGGATACCTTTAAAGTCTGGCTTTCAGAAGAAATGACAAACACAGAGAGCAGTAGATGAATTTCCACCTTTATATAGTTTTTTTTTTAATGGTCATTTTCAACTTCCTGTAAGTTAGAACATGTTTACTCTCTTTTCTTCAGGGATAGCAGCTAGGTAAAAATGCTCACAGGACATCTCTGAAAAAAGAAAAAGTTTCTTTTGGAGGCAAAACTCCAGTAATGTTTTTAAGGAGATTTTCAAACTCATTGTCTGTCTTCTGCAACCTTGGTAAAGTTACGAAATGACTCTGAGATTCTGTTTCTCACGTGGAAAAATCCTAGAGGGTGGGGAGCATATTGTAAATGGAAAATTCAGGCCCTTAGGGTTGGAATTCCAGGCTAAAGTCTTCATGCTCGTTGGTAACAGAATCAGGACCAGTAGATCTCTTTTCCTAGAGTAACATCCTCCTACCATGTCCTGCAGTTTCCCATGTGTTTCTCCTCTTATTGCACAACAGGTTAATTTTTTGTCTTTAGTACCCTAACCAACTTTTTTGATAAAGAAGATTGCTATGCAGTGGATTCTTTGGCCTTGGAGCTTGATATTCTTTCCAAGTCCTTGGTAGTGTACTTTTTAAAGTTTAGAAATGGCAAAGCCTTTTTGCAATCCGTTGTATTTTGCTAATGAGTTTTTCTCTCCATGTTACATACTTTTAAAGAAATTGTGGACCCACTTAACAAAGGAACTTTAGTTTATTTAAAATAAAATGCAACCAGTGGCAGTAACTATCATGTTAATGTCCCTCAGTTTTATTGGCAATCAAACATAGCAATAGATTCATTCAGAGGTAAGAATTCAATTTTAACCTAAATAGCTTCATTACACAGTCAAATTATTTAAGGCTTTTGATTTATTTTTTTTATAACTGTAAGCAAGGACTTAAGTATATTTGTTAGGATTTATACATGACTTCTTTGAAAAAGAGCAGCTTCTATAATTCCATGATACACAAATTAACTTGACAGCAAAGTCTTAAAAGCTTAAGCTGTCCGGAGTTGCATGTTCCTAGTAACTTCCCAGCAAAAAGAAGTCAGAGGGAGAAATAATTAAGCTCTAAAGTAACCAAAGTATTGACAGAGCAAAATGATTCAGAATGGAGAGTACAGTGACACCAGAGAGGGTAGGATGGAAAACCACAAAGTTGTACACACTGAGAATGTATTCACCTAGAAGTCAACCACTAGGAAGTGGTACTGCTAGAAATCTAACAAAAACGTATTTGCCCAATACGCAAGAAGCACCACTTCACCCAGAGTTTGGTAGATTCTCCACAAAGCTTGAAGTGGTGCGGAAAGGACTCACATCAAGGGAAGTGGTGTTCAGAGAGGGAGCCCTGCTCCTTTGCATCGCTTCTCTTGCCTGTGCTGCAGGTGAGACACTAAACTAACCCTGTTGGACCATCTGTGCAAAGAGAATTTTCCAAGAGACAAAAGCAATTATGCACGTGATGCCCAGGGCAAGTCCTGAAGTAAAATTGTCAGGTAGAGGACTGTCACTCCAAAATGTGTTGCTGAGCTCAATCTCATCCCCACAGGGTCTGTTTCTAGTGAGTTTCTTTAT